TATCGTTTTGAAACTTAATTGAAGACCGGATAGTTGCTAATTTCGAACATGGAAATAAAGCAAGGAATAAAACAAGCGAATGCGGAGACTCTATATAGTTTTGGTAATTTTTGAGATTAGAGCTAGATTAACATTTCTGTTTCATTGTAAGCCCAATCACCAATGATGTGCGATTGTAGCATTGCATGCGAACGATGCTAAAGCAGAATGTTTATATCCCAATAATTTTTCTCTCAAACTAATAGAAACTAATAAATCTTCAAACTCTGTAAAAATATAAAGTTTAAAGGCTGCGAGAAGAGTTTGGGAGTGTTTGGGTTGACTATGACACACCTTTTGGTTCGCAAATTTGTGGCGTTATGCATTATCCCACACTTTATTGATGGATATGTAATTAGAGCATTGTCGAAAATGATGCAGTTGAGCTGTTTAGCTTGATTTAGTGAATTAAACAATGCCGCCGTTTATATAGAAGGGTAAAGAGTACTTTCCGCTTATAGACCTTGACTCGCTTGGACTGCTATATCTCCATTTTTTTGGCAGAAAATCCTATAGATGATTTTAATGTGCTTATCAAGTTGTTCTACGAAGTACTTCATCAAAAAGCCTCATAAGAGGTGGATCAGTGGTCCATGAAAAAAATAGTCTTTTATAGCGATAAATAGTCTTCTACCTAGGATAGTGAAACTTCAAAATTAATGAGCCATCAAGAAGGTTAACAATCATCACATCGTCGGACAGGAGGCGAAAAGAGGCAAGCTCTTTGATGAGTAAAAAGCTCTATACAGGGAGTCAAAACTGTGAATACTTAAAGATTTCAGCTCTGACTTCTGAAGGGTTCTCTTAAGATAGCAAGCACTGACTCGTCGGTGGCATACGCAGCGTTTGCCATTGAAGCTGGCGCTCAAGTTTAGACAGTTTTTATCTCAGCTTGTCATTATATCATCAAATTCTAAGGAGGAAGAGGTTTGTCAGAGTGACAGTTACCAGATACTAAGCGCGCACTGTCATGACATTACTGAAGAGAAAAGTATGAAGAAAAATTGCTGCATAACCTTTGCGTAACTATCATTGTCAAAGAAATGGATAAAATCTACAGATTTCGACTTCATTTTGGTTTTGCTTACATAATTTGATCGCTGCAAGAAAATAGTTTCTTGTTTTTACCCATTTGTGCTTATGCAAGACCCTTTGATGTAAATGGCTGAACAAACCTCTAATATATATGTACATTGGAGTCCCATGCGTATCAGTTAATTTGAATAGACACTGAATAAGGAAACAGAACAGCAGCATCGATGATGCGTAAGTGAGGAACGGAGAGA